CTGCTGCTCCTGATGCTGCTGCTGCTGCTGCTGCCACCACGAGTACTACAGCTAGATCCACAAACAACAACACGAGGACAACGATGACGAAAACGACGACGACGACAACAACCACCACCACCACCACCACCACCAGCACCACCAGCACTACGACTACGACGGCGACTACTAAGCAGCTGCGAAAACGGTTGTCATTCACATGTCCACCAGCCCGACCTCAAGCAGATGGCAGCAGGCCCCAACCCCTGCCTGCATGTCTCTCTTGTGTGAGGTGATGTGGAGCTTGATGAACGCCTCAACCTGACCCGAGTCCCTCAAAACTCTGCAGGACGGCATGCTGGTTCTACGAGTTTTAAACCGAGCTTTGAGATATGTTCAAGCAATATGTTAGTCAGTTGGGCGCAGCGCACTTTCATGCAGGAAGCCGCTGCATCCGAAATTCCTGGAACTCTTCGGGAAGCTGCGAGCCAGGCTTTTAGAGTACGGCTCCCGCAACTACTACCACGTCGGTAGAACCGAACCTCTAATTCACTTGGATCCGTAAGGCATGGCCAGATAATATCATACTGCTATGATGAGATGACCGCATGTTTTCAAAAATGTAACGGCGAAATTTCAATAACCTTTGAAATTTTGTTACACCTAAACCCTAAACGCTAAACCCTATAAACCCTAAACCCGCTCGACGGCTTGCCTCCTTTTTGTCCTGGACTCCAGCATCCTGGCCACGACAAGCTCCGAACATCGATGCGCCGAAGAGAACACTGATACGTGCCTACAAATCTGATTTGTGTGGCACACTCTCCTCGATTCTATTCTGTTCGAGCTATGGTATTTTGTTGTATTAGGTTACATTTGTACTTACTGTCTATCAACATCTATAATAAAAAATAAGTTGTCATGCAAGGATATGCCATGTTCCACTAGTGCGCAACATGCTATGTCAAGTTGTGTTGTATTCTAACATTACAGTAGTGCAAAAGCCTAGCAATATGCTAAGCCGTACACTAATGTGTTCCATTACACTATGATGCATTACGTCGTCTGTAGGTTTGTACACGGAGCGTTACGCAAACATATTGACATTGTACTCATTGTGCACCGCTCTATTATGTCATACTCTTTTCTTCTGTTCCATGTTGTCTTGCGAAATATCAGGTGTAAACCACTATTGCTGCATTATGATGTGGCTTGTTACACTATGCCATATCACACCATATTCGAACATAATTTGCTATGTTGCACGCTGTTGCACTACAACAGACTCATCATGAAACATTGTGCCTGTGTGTTATCATGTTCCCCTCTCGCTCTGCCGAGGCTGCGAGGTTAGTGGCTCTTACTGGCTGCATACTGTATGCACATGGTATCTAGATCTATGATGATGCAAATATTCAGCCACATAGATCAGGTACTCCATAATATGATACCAGACCTTCCTATACTGTATTATAAGTTGATATGTTGCCTTGTACTGTCTTTGTGTTCGTTGTGTCTCTTTGGAGGTATGCATCACTTCAACCATGCATGTATGCATGCATGGATGTACGTGAGTTCTGTTTGCAGCTATGTATTGTGTGTGCATGCATGTATGCATGCGTATATGCAAACATGTACGTGCATACGCATGCGTGTACGTGTTTATTTGTGTATGTGCGCGTGGAAGCATGTATGTGTGCATGTGCGTGTGTACACATAAACGTATGCACGTGTATGTTTATGTCTGTACAGACATATGCACATATGTATTTTGCATATGCTTATACATGAGACTCTGAGAAACCAGAACACCGAGTGGAGATGACTGATTGTGGGACTCTCTATATTTTCCTTGAACGGCATGAGGCAAGCAGATTTCTTTTGGACAAAATATATATGCACACACATACATGTGTGTATATATATATATATAAAATGCATACACTGATAGGAGCGTATGCTGTGCGGAGCCCAAACCTTGCTTGACACCATCGACATCATGGAACAGTTATCCAGCTGGCCATCAAAAGGAGTGCAGGAAAACTGCAGCAGACCACCTGAAGCCGAACTTCACCTTCAAAGCCTTGGCCGAGGTTCAGGCGGTGTCAGATCGGTTTAGGCTGGTGTGCTTGGGGCGGCACCCGGTCCAAGCCAAGGCTTCGGGTTTGGGACTTCGGCCGAAGCATATTCAGGGGTTTTCTCGTGAGAGGGAGACCTGGGGTCTAGAATCAACCAAACTGAGGCTGTGATGTCGGTGGTAAGGCGTCGCGGAAGAAAAACAGTCTTGCGACTGTGTGGCTCATGGGTTCTACTTCGCGGAAAGCTGGCCCAGGACCAGCTGGTAGTGCTGCAACTTACCGACACCGCCAACGTTGCTGCTGCTGCTGCTCTCTACAACGACTGCGACGACGACTACTATGGCTACCGCTGCTCCACCACCACCGCAACCACTACTGCAGGTACTGGTAGTACTAGTACAGTTGATGGTATAAGTCCTGCAATACCCATACTAAAGAAATATACCATAATGCTGCTGCTGCAACTACTACCAAAAAAAAGCTGCTACTACTACTGCTACCACTACTCCTACTACTACTACTACTACCACTACTACTACTACTACTACTACTACTACTACTGCTACGACTACCACTACCACCACTACTACTACCACCACTGCTACAACCAAAAACCCAACTGCTGCTGCGACTACTGCTGCTACTCCTACTCCTACTCCTGCTCCTGCTCCTATCCCTACCCCTACCCCTACCCCTACCCCTACCCCCGACCCCTACCCCTACCCCTACTCCTACTCCTACTACTACTACCACCACCACCACCACTACCACTGCCACTTCTACTATATGACTTTTTATTACTTATTGCAGGTAGGTGTTACATGTTGGTATCGTTCCCACTATCACCCTCAGCCGGGGAACCATGAGCCGCGACCTGCGAGAAGGGAATTTCAGCCTTACCCAAGAAGTCGTCCTTTTTCCCCACGTCCTGCGAAGCGTGGAGTTCAAGCCTACAAGCAGGCATAACATAAGCCTGAAGAAAACAACCTACACAATGAACAGCATGGCATTCAACGATGATAGACGCGATGAGCCAACCATTATTACTGGCCGCTCGAAGCGAGAGCGCGGAGAGTCCTTATCGTAGATCTCGAACCTCAGCTGCAGATGAGATGCCAGCTAAATAAATCGTTGCCAACCGCAGACTTGGAATTCAGCATTGCCGAGACCTCACGATGGATGGAGTGGGCAAATGCCCTCTTTTCCCTGGTCAAGCTGCATCAGCTTGTCATCCTTGTAGAAGTCTGGAACCACCTCGTTTGGAGAAGGTGGTCTAGAAAACGAAAGAAAACTGATCACTTCAACGACAGACGAAGACTCCAAGAGCATGTCCAGGTATGTAAGAATGTCCAAGGATGGGGGCTTGGGGCTTCATACACCCAGCAAGGGCTTCAAGGAGTCAGGAGGCACGCTTCCCAAGCTCTCCAAAGCAAATTTTGCGGTCCAGCCACAAGTTGCTCATTCCATTCCGGATCGGTCCTATCGTTTATGGTCCTGCGCAGGCAAGGGCTCGAGGTTGTCTCGCAGTAAGCACCTCCGACTCCGTTTAAGCTGTCTCAAACGATGCCCTCTCGCCGGTTGGGCACGATACCCATGCCCAGCCTGTGAATCTAAACCTTCCAACATTCCACGGAAAGGCGAGAAAGGTAGTGCCCGGCATTTCTATCCAGCAACTACGTATAACCTTCTGCGTGTCACCCCCGCGGACAATTTACTTTGAAGCTCCGGAATTTCCTATACACACACACCTGACGGGAAATGCAAACACACAGTGGCGACAACGAGAAGCAAATCTTCAACTCAGGCTTTAGGATCAAAATTCAGGCGCGAAGTGAAAGGCCCTAAAAATGCCAATGGTTGTTCGGAGTTGTTCGTCAGCGCAATCGCTGCCAGCCCCGACAATCTTCACGCATGCCCGGATTATCCGTTTTTGTGTAGTATACTACGATGCAATCACCCACCGCCACCACCAATAAATCGACCTCTAAAGCTGCTTCTTTTGCAGGACGATTCGACTGGTCCTGCATGTTATCGGATGCCGACGGTCAGTCTTGCGACTTTTGTCCTCCCTGGATGGAAGCTACGATGTTTACTCCTGCTGCTCTTCTGAATGTCATTACTTTCCTGCAGCGTTCCTCCTGATCTTTCTCACGGTAATGGTGACGGTGATGCTGCCTGCTGCTGCTGCTGCTACGACCTTTGCCACTTTTGCTGCCGCCCCCGGTCCTACTTGCACCCCCAATCCACGGCTGTCGCAGCACCACCACGACTAAGACGAGACAGCCATGCTTCTACTACCACCACTACTCCTGTCCCCCTGCTATATAGTGATGCTATGCTGCTACTGCAACTCTTACTACACCTACGGCTGACTTCTATATCCTCTTCCTCCTCATACTGCTGCCGCTACTGCTAATGCAATTGCTACTGCACTAGTACTCGTACGAGCACTTGCACCGGTACAAGTACGAATACGCGTATTAATGCTAATAATAATTCTGCGCAATACTAGTACAAATACTGACTATTAAATCCAATTATACTAATACTAGTACCAGTACCAGCACCGGTACTAGCACCAGTACTAGTAGTAGTAGTAGTAGTAGTAGTACTACTACTACTACTACTACTACTCCTCCTGCTGCTACTACTACTACTGCTACTACTACCACTGCCACTACCACTACCACTACGTCCTACTTCTACTTTCTACTTTCTGCTTTCTACTTCTAGTTCTACTTCTACTTCTTCTTCTTCTACTACTACTACTACTCCTACTCCTACTGCTACTGCTACTGCTACTGCTACTACTCCTGCTGCTGCTACTGCTACTCTCACTGTTAACTACTATGATCACAACGACCAGCGCGGCTGCTGCACCACTTGCTGCTGCCGTCACCATTGCTGTGCTGTTGGGCCATCACCTGTGACTGTGGCGTCTTGTGTCTATATTTTTGTCATGATGGTGAACATTGCCTGCAACCGAAGCCAGTGGTGCTCGGAATAGCTGGAAGCAGTCCTGGTCGTGTACTGAGTCTTGCCCGTCCCCTTGACGTAGCACTTGCAGTACGGATCGGAACCTGAGTTGGCATCTGTCCCGGTAGGTCTGTGACCTTGCAAACCCTCCCATACTTCTCTTGTGTGCTCAACTGCACTATAATCTAGGTACTTTGGAAAGGTTGCCGTTGCTGCAAGTTTGAATGCTCGGCTTGAGATGTTTGGGTTAGCATGAAAAACGATCGGGACCGTTGCAGGTATGAGACCAGGTTTATAACCAATAAGCCGGACAAAGCTTCCGTCGTTTTTACAAGTGTATGGCAAGGTGATTTGAAAGGTCCAAGTGCTGCTTACAGGGGAACGCATAACTCGGGGAGCAAGCCGTGCGTCGTACGTAGATTTGCTGTCCGCTTAGCGATGATACAATGATTGTAAGCATTCGAGCCGTGACTCTGTCTCTGTGTGTGTGTGAAAGAGTGTGAGGCGGCGTGGGTGGCGGGGGGCTGTGGGTGTGGGTTGGTGCTTTTGCGTGTGCGAGCGGGTGCATGCATGTGTATGCATCATGTGCGTGCATGTGTGTGTGTGTGTGTCTCGCGTGGATGCAGACGTGAGGTGTAAGTGTAAGTACTTGCCTTGTGAATGCATGGGTATGTATGCATGTCGCATGTATTTGTGGTAAGCACGAGTATCGACAGCCAAGGTGAGCCAAGCGACTCCCGCCGCCCATGAAGTGGTCAGCGTTTCGTAGATTACGAGCCTCATGACTGAAACGACATAGCACTCGAAAGGCTCCGGCCACTGGCTTTTACATTTATCAGCGGACTGTATTCTGTGGCTCGTCTTTCTCGCACAGGAGCATGGCATTGGCGCAATTTGTCTTCTGGCAAGTCCCATCGAGCAAACGGAATGAGCGATGGTTTTTTGATGGGCAGTCTGGTTTTTTGCTCGCATACGTGACGCAAGCAGCCAACCCTGCGCATGGCAGCCTGCAGCTTCGCAATATGAGGGGCGAAATAAATCTGTGAGCTTGAGGGCGCTCCGGCCCGAACTGAGAACTAGTGCAAAAGGAGAAATTGCACGGAGATACACTAGGTGAAGCTTAGCAAGAACACACACAGTCACGAACCCCCTGGACCCCCCAAAGGCGAGACCTTGCATAGCCTGAGACACAACACTTCAACCCCGAATGCCAAGCATCATGCCGCTGTTGTGCGATTTGCTTAGCTCCCGGCAGATATGATGTTGACCTGATTGGGCGAAGCAACTAGTCTGAAACTTTCACGAATTGGTCATCATCGCTTGCGGCAACCTGCCCTGCTTCCCGTGGCAGACTCAAAGGCTGTAAGACTCAGGCCTGCAACTTGTACATGCCCTCGAGGTTCGTCGAGGAGAAAGCATTGCCCATCTGCCAACAGTCTCGGTTTGAGGATGGGGGGTTTAGGGTTTAGGGCAGATCTGCCAATGCTAGAAGTCCACGCTCCGCTTTCCGCGAGCATGCACAAGCACACACACGTGCACCCACAGGCGACCCGGAAGCTCTAATCAAAACCACGTTCAGCAAACCAGGAGCTCAACCTTATGTATATATATATATACATATGTATACATACATTTGCATATGTTTATGTGTGTATATATGTGTACATGTATACATATGTAGGTATGCAAATATATATATATATATGTATCTATGTGTACATGTGTATATATATATATGTGTGTGTGTGTGCATATGCATGTATGTATGTATTTATGTATGTATCTATGTATGTATGTATGTATGTATGTATGTATGTATGTACAATATGTATCATATCTATATATATATTCTTTACACACATCTGAAAAAAAAAGGACTGGTCCACAACCATCGTCTGTTCCAAACTCGCTTGCCCCAACCTCGAGCTTCCTTTTGGCCACTGTCACTTTGACAGAGATGACCGATTCCTCGGGATGGCAAAACTGAAGATCCGAGATGTAGGATGTTCGGGTTTGGCGTCATTCACATCTGCAGGAGTAGCCCCGTCTAACCCCAAAAGCTATTGAGGCCACTAAACCCTAAGCCCCAATAATTTTTTGGGCCCCTAAACCCTAAACATTAGAAATCTAAGCCCCTAGGCCCTATATTTAGGGCCCTATAAACTATAAACCCTAAAACCCATTAATTTTCTAGGCCCCTAAACCCGAAACCCCAATATTATTCTCGGCCCCGAAGCCTTAAACCCCAATACTTATTATTCATAGGCCCCTAAACCCGAAACCCCAATGATAACTTCGGAACTAAAACCCTAAACCTAAACCCCAAGGCCTGCCTTCTAAACCCTAAACCCCAAGGCTTGCCTTGTTGGCCTTCTTCTTGCCAGTGCTCTCCAGCGGGAGGAGGAAGCTCTGCGGACCCTCCTCCATGGGACGCTGAGGGATCTAAGTATAATACAGGTGCCTTCATAGGGCTTTTTTTTAAGTGTCTAGGGTATAGGGTTTACGCTCTCACAACTCGGACATGCCAGGCGAGGTCAATGGTACGTGGTCGGCGTGAGACAGGAAGCAAGGACCCCCAGCTGCATAGACCAACTAGGGTATAGGGTTTAGGGTTTAGGGTTTAGGGATCTAAGTATAATACATGGGGCTCCTGTAAAATTCTTTTTGTTGGGTTACTACAGGGGCGGGGATCTTCATAGGGCTCCTTTACAGTTCTCTAGGGGCCCTTAGTACTTAGAACCGGGGGGCAAAACTCCTGTGGCGCATCAAAGGTACAATCAGACTCCGACCCTAAACCCTAAACCCCAAACCCTAAACCCTACACCATACACTCAAACTTCAAGATCCGACGTCCTCTTGAAGCTCCTCCCAGCCTCCAGGAAAGCCGGCTTGGGCCGTTTTCGTGAAGGATTTCTGTGTGGCACCACAAGATACGAAATTATCGCGGAAACAGATGAACCAGTGTAGCATTCTTCCTAGTGCTTGCAATACGAGAACCCCAAATACCACAACAGCAAACCACCTGGAAACATAGAGCGAGTAAAGGACCCCCAAACCCCTAAGCGCGAGGTCTGACGGCCTTCTTCCCGTAGCTAAGCAGTCTGAACCGTGAACTGTGGTTTTGTTTTTGATTGGAAGTTTCAGAGAGCGGCCTTACAGTAATATAGACTTACAGACCCTGGATCCTAAGTATGAACATGTATACGCCCCTAGATAAGGCACCTCGAATTTGCTGAACATCGGCCTTTCCTCTGGCCCTGGATCCTGGCTTCAGCTCAACAACCAGAACAGTGAACCAGCATGAGCAGCTCAAAGGCATACCCCCTTGTTTGCGTACCCTTGAACCCTGGTTGCTAGCCGCATCCCGGGCAGGCGGACACCGAGAGGGCCTATAGATGCGATGCCAAGAGAATCGTGCTTTCCAACCACATCGTGATCCAGAATCTCGAAGCAAAGTTGGTCACCTGCGGGGGAAGACTTGCACAAAGTCGAGCAAATACTGCAGCTACCTTTAGGCCTTGTGGCTTTGTGTGTGATGCCTGCACATGGGCCTCCAGGGGCCGTTACGAGCGCAACTACGGCTTTCCTGTAGGGCCCGTGTGATGGTGCATGGTCTTCCGCTGTCAGTCTTTCATCTGGTCAATCGCAGCAAGAAATAGCAGTGCGCGATGGCTAATGATCTCTCCGAGCCCAAGGCCATCATGCATGTCGTGGATCTTGGCGGTGTGATTCCAGACTGGATCCCGATTGTTCTGCACGACCTTCGTCTTGAAGCTGGACTTGCCTCGATAGGCCGAAACTGCTAACAAACACCACTGCGCTCCTAGACCCCCAACCCCAAGCCACATATCCTTTAGCCCAAGGTTTGGATGCATGCCTTTAGGCTTCGGAGTATTAGTACTATAGAGTCTAGAGTTTAAGGTTTCATCATCCATGGCGCTTATCTGGAGAATGCTCTGTTAACTGGAATTTGCGCCAGGAAACGGCAAAGCATCCAGACATGCCAAGCCAGCAAACGACTGCAAAGTACATTTTGAAACCCTTTTCCCAATTAGGGCAATCCGCAATATCGTTTCAGAAGTTCCCGCTATTAAGATCCATCTAATTACATGTCTTTTGCATGCCTAGTTCTATTTCTATCTACCCGCCTGTCCATGCATCAACCTATCTGCAATATACTGTCTGTCCAAGCTGCCCTTGCCCTGCACCGCCACGACCTGACAAGCTGGATCCGATGAAGTTTCCCGCCGAAACGCGACGCGAGAAAAATCTGAGAAAATCTTCGATAAAGTACAACTTCTCAGTAAGTGAAGGGTTTCGGGTTTAGGATTTCGGAATGTCTGCAAGGACAGACGGGAGGAATCTTCTTTCAATCTAGTACCAGTGAACATGAGCAAACACCCGATGTCTCCAGCCAGCTCTGAGTAACTTACATGCTTCCCGTTTGCGCCGCATCCCTGTTGTCACGCGTTCGGCCCGTGAGCAAATGACTGACCTGCACGCTCTGAGAACTGAGCCTCGAGTCGTTAAGATGCAGTCCCATAATAATCATAATAATATTTTTAAGTTTCATAATATTAAGAATATTCATAACATTATAACATTCATAATATTAACAATATTAATAATATTAATAATGTTAACAATATTAATAATATTAATAATGTTAACAATATTGATAGTAATAATAGTATTAGTAATCAAAATATTTTTAATAATCTTAACACTCTTAATAATCAAAATAATATTAATAATATTAATAATACTAATAATATTAAGAATATTAATACTAATATTGCACATAATAGTAATGCTAATATTATAATAAAGATAATAATAATCACAATAATTTTTATTTTTACATTATTAGTATCAGAATCCTGTGTCCCACTTCCTCTCATACGAAACTCTGGTCTCTCAACGTCCGTACCATGCTTGCCCATGCAGCATGTCGGATCTAGCCATATGTGCAACCGATAACTACGGTGAGAATACCGTAAAAGAACCCACTGTTCAAGAACCTTGGCCCCTACCTCTGGCGGGATTCACATTATTCAGGTTGCTTCAAAATCAAGAATTTTTTGCGGGTTGTCATGGTTTGGCTTGTTTTGAAAACGCAGGGATTAAGAACTTTAGGGGGGCTAAGGGCTTAATATGGCCTTAATAAGGCTTTAATAAGGGCTTAGTATGGCCTTAATAAGGCTTTAATAAGGTCATGCAGGTACCGTGGCCATTTTGGCTCAAGGTACTCGTCGTGCTCTTGGTAAGACCGTGGGTAAGAACCTTAGCCTACCCTAGCTGCCCAGCCGGCCAAATCAGAGGTAATGGAACTTAAGAACCTTAGGGTAGGCTAGAACTCCCGGGATGGGGTTCTTAAACAGGGTTTTCACTGTAGAACATCATGAATCCTGAAGCTGCGGCAGACCCCGGCCCTGGCAAAAATGTGCCGGGCGGCGCAATAGGGGTCCGAAGATCCCCCACCCGGAGCCCAATCTGCATCGCGCAATTTGTTCGCCTTTTCCACAGTCACCTGGTGGTTCAAGTAAACGCTTGACGTCTGCAGTACTATGAACAACATTGGCACACTCCAGTCACCTAGTAAGAAAAACTGTGAACAGTCTACTGCTGTACTCCAACTTGGCTGAAAGCATACGCAGCTCAGAGGACAAGTGTGCTACGGATGGTAGCTAGAACTTGCCCTGAGACCTCAACCCTCAATCGTTCACACAGCAGCAGTCCTATGGGAGGTATGGCACTAATCGTCGCGAGGCCAGCCGTTAATTTGAAGGCCTAAGCCCTTTTTACCCAAAGCCTGGGTCACCGAGAAAGCAAGGTAAAACCACCATCGGAATCCGTCGATTCAAGCAAAAGCCGGCCTAAAAGCCCAGAGCCAACCCACAAGTGAGCCGCAGAAGAAGTAGCAGTAGTAGCAGCAGCAGTAGTAGAGGAAGAAAGACCGACCGTGTTTGTAGGCCCCCGGCATCGAGCTCGTACACCCATCGTCCAGGCTTCCTGGCTGAAGAGCCACCCAGACAACAGTCAGACAGAATATAGATAGACAGACACGCAGACAGACCGACCGACCCATCCGCCGACCCAGCGCCCGACGGACGGACAAACAAACACAAATGCTTCATACACGGCCGTACACACATACATACATACATGCATCCAGGCATACATGAATACGCACTTAATATGTTTTTACATTACACTACGTCAAAAGTGCATTGCATGGCATTGTTTTACTTCTCACTCATACATTCATCATGTCATTCCATCCATTCATTCATTGATCCATCCCATTCCAGGCAGTCATTGTCCCATTCCCTTCCATTCCCTTCCACTTCATTCCACTCAATTTCGTTCCATCCCTTCCCTCCTTCCTTCCAACCTTCCTTCCTTCCTTCCTTCCGTCCTTCCTCACTCAATATTCATTCGATTTCATTCAGTTTCGGTCCATTTCATTCAATCGTTCATCATTTCATTCCTCCGTTCACTCATGCATGCATGCATGCATGCATGCATACATATGTACATAAATACTTGCTTACCTACTTACTTAGTTACCTACTGACTTACTTACTTACTTACCTACTTACTCACTCACTCACTGACTTACTTACTTACTTGCATACTTACTTACTTACGTGACGTACGTGCAGACAGACGCTACCAAATATAATCATATATGCATAACCTGCATAACCACCTACCCACCCAAACACCCAAGCCGACCGCACGACCGGCCTGCCTACCCACCCAGCTACTACATGCATGCAGACATGCATACAAGCATACATGCATACATACATACATACATACATACATACATACATACATACATACATACATACATGCATACATACATACATACATACGTGCGACCATGTAAGCACAGGTTTGCACAAGATGTCTGACTCGCTGAATGTCTCTCTCTCTCCCTCTCTGCTCACGACTGGATCTAGTGAATCTAGTGCCAGAGCTGGATTCTAATGTCATGACCTTTCCTGGTGAATTGGTGCAGGTGTCACCCCAAACTCCGAAACCTATCTTGAATGTTACTGTGCAGCTTTCGTTGTGCCGGGCGACACTGCCGCAACCTCGCCACTACCGGGCTGGTCGTCTTTAGACGGCGCCTCGACTGCGAACCGGTTGCTTGACGAGGCAAATGTGCTAGCCCATGCCCAGGAAAAAAGATTTCGTCGCATCCGCTGGTGAAGGGGAACGGAGTACCCGGAGTACTGGCAGCCCCCAATATCCTACGGGACTCACTTTGGAGGCCGTACTAGAACTGCTCGGGCGGAGGATGTGTGGAGGAGTAGTGAGTACTGAACATGATGGCACGAGGCGGTGGAGGACATGTGGGGGAGTAGTAGAATTGTTTGGGGCGGAGGACGCAGAGCTACATCTGGCTACGGCTACTATCTTCCGAAACACGAAAAAACAGCACTGAAGCACTTAGCATGTCTGATTTGTCTACTGGGCTTTGCCCATGAGATGCACCAGCCGACGTCCTTTGCATCTTGAAGATTACAGGCCGCGGGCATGGGCGCTAGTTGTTTCAGAAACTTAAGCTAAGCCCTCAAATCTCCGCCAGCTAACATGCTTGAGGACTTCGGTTGCCCAGGCACCACTGGAAAAGATACTTATTTCTCGTCTGCCAGACACCCGAACCCAGGCCCTGCAACAAGTGCTGTGGTCGGCGCTTCAGTGCCCTTGGCCGAGGTTCCTGGTCGAGGGCTTGTGGAGCTTTCACTCTTTCAAGCGGCTGTCGGGCACCCTGCATGGCTTTGCGCTGTTTTACAAGTGGCTCCTGGATTTGAATCACCTCGGCATCGATAGAAGGTGAGCTTCCACCCCAGAACGCACTGTACACCGCGAGTCGAAAATAACCCAAAACCCTACCCTAGAAGCCAATAACTTGTGGAAGTCGGTCCTGCGGGCTCTAAGCGCGGCAGGCTCTTGATCAGATTGGTGAAGCTGTCGCGGAGAGTACCTCGATGTAGCTTACAGATCGGGAAACAGCAAGTTGGGCCAGACTGATTCAATTGGGAAAAATTCTGCAGAAGCAAGTAAACAGTTGCAGCTAACAGTGAAAACGAAAATTGGCCACTGTAGGCTGGAGCTTAACAGTCTGTATGTGTAGCCTGTGCACCGACTCCACGCAATGAGTCTCACTTCTGACGAAGTGCAAACTCGGAGATCAGCACGCGCGATTCCTTGCCTGACTTCCTGTTTTGAAGCGTGAACTTAAACGGGTCCCCAACTCTTGAAGTCTACCGCTCTATTTCTCTACTTAGGACTGCGTCAAAAGGACACCTCTCAGACCGTGGTCCAAAGTGAATGCTAGCGCTGACAGGGTCGAAGCAGTCAGACGACCCCTCTGGCTTGCGGCTCTGTGGGGGTTTGGGAACCAACACGATGTAAGGTCTCCGAGTAGGCTCTGCTTGTGCCCTGGGCGGTCCCTCAGGCAAAGTCAGGCCTTTGATCCTTTGCTTTGGAACTCCGCCGAAGCCTGTAGATCAGCAAGGACCCCACACCTTCAAACCATTCTTCGACAGGGCGCCGGTGTCTGAAATCGTAGACTTGGAGTGCAACTCCTCGGTCAGCGGAACTTCAGTTGCCTAGTTCCATCTCTGAGAGCTGTTGCCGGTGCTGCTGGCGCGAGGCTTGGTGGTACAGAAAGTGCTGTTTTACCGCCTGCATATGTACTATACGAGACAAACTTTCGAAAAGATGAGGGATAGAGCACTAAAGCCAGCAGCACGCCATGGCACAACACTGTATGTATGCATGCATGATCAAACGATTTAAACGGTGCTAAGATGCTCGCACAACAACGAGCGTATCGCAAAAACGAAACGTCCGGGTGTATACTACAGTGTCTAGCCTGTTCAAACATCTAGTGTGGCCATGCCGCAAGATGCCAACATCCTGCTAGACTAACCCAAGCATGAAACCCAAATCCATGCATGTGCATCTGCGACGGGACCCGGAGGTATTCACAGAATAACCACCACCGTGGAAACAGCTGCTGCAATCACCCAGGCACCGTCCAGATAGAAACCCTACTCTTGATTGATCTATATATATATTTATATTTATATTTATATTTATATTTATATTTGTATTTATATTTATATTTATATTTATATTTATATTTATATTTATATTTATAATTATATATAGATATATATATATATACATGTGCACACACATACATACATACATACATACATACACGAACGACATGCGCCGGGGCACATCCTCACTCAGTCCCCATGCCACCAGCTTCCACCCCACCTGACGGCTCAGGGTTGTTCTCGCCGCCAAAATGAGACTCTTCGAGAGCGTGGGAAAGCAAACAAGTTCATTCTCGACTCAGGGTTTATAGGGTTTAGGGTTTAGGGCTTCCTTGGGTGTTGGGTTAGGGTTAGTTGAAGAATTGGAGACCGAACTCACACCCGCAAGGCTTCATATTCGGAAGACGTCAGGTTTCATCTTGGAATCGGGGACTACCCAAAAGGAGCTTGTAGGAGACCATCAGATAAGCATCACCTCAAAATTTGTTCAGACCCTATAAACTCGATAAGCCGCCAGTCTCTAGACCCTAAACCTATCAAATCCTACAGAACCCCGCCTCAATACCCACCGTCGAGGCGGGAGGTCCCACCACCCGGATGACATCCATCGGTGGAAAACCTGTGCCACAGAGAGATCGCCGAAACTCGGAAGCTTGTGACTGAAGTCTGTCCTGCTTTCGGGATCCGAGGGTTCGAGGATTCTCTAAGGTTTTCTGTAGCAGTCCCTTTGCGCACAAAACCGGGATTTCTATAGGGCTTTGCAAGGGTTCTATGAGGGGGTTAGGAAGGATTTGGGCGCTCACACTCGGACAGTTCAGGCGAGGCGGGTGGTCTGAGGTCGCCCTCGTGGAAGGATTTAGGCATCCGTGATGCTCGATGAGAACAGGGTGCTAGTAACAGCGTGGCTCTGGGACGGATCGCGCATTCCTTTCAGATCTTCGGAGCCCCGAACCTACGGTCTGCCCAGCATCAATCTCTGCTTCGAGTTTCAGTTCCGAAAATGCATACACATGTGCACAGCATGACGTAGGTGGCACTGTGCCCATCTAGCTGCAGCTAATTGCTTCGAAGACTTATCACGACGGCCTTTGCCTTGTGGGCGCTTCTTGGCCTTCACATCAGAGCTTCCACATCACTTCTGAGCTAGGACCGACCAAGTTGGCATGTCCTCCTTGATTCAGTTTTCCGGCCCGGTGTCCCTGTCGGCCATATTCGGCCCTTGCTGGATTGCGCTGGGAGGCCATGCTGGCGCCTGTGACCCGAGGTCCCGGTTTGTTTAGGGGTATAGGGCTATAGGGATTAGGGTTTAGGGGTATAGGGTTGAGGGGTATATGAGACGGCCATGAGATGCAGGCAAGGCTCGGATGGAGAAGCCGGGCGGTCTGTTCCTCGGGTTCTTGAAGCCCTCACCACGGATGTCTTGTCCCGATGCCAGCCGACCTCACAGAAAAGCCTTCTCAATCCGAATGCCTCAGCCCCAAACGAAGATTCAACTGCGGCCCGGTGCTCGGAAGAGCCACTGTCCGCTTGCCCTTTTTTGTCTCGAAGACCAGGATGGCCTTCGAAGGCCTCGGATATGCCGGCCCAAGGCCTAAGAGTCTCCGCCCTTGGGATTGAATGGATGGGGCGTGGAGTCCAGGAAACCAGCCACATCCACGGGACCGATGGCAGGGGACATTCAAGACCCCTTTTTGAAGCTGGGCTTGCTGGCTGCCAGAACATGGCCCTCCGACCCTAGACCCGGAAACCTACACGAAACCTCTAAGAACTCGGAATTCATGCACGAGCCCTCAATTTATATAAGGGCTTGGGCCACTTCCGAGGTCGGAGAATCGGTTGAGCCCCTCCTCAAAAGCCCAGATCGGAGCAATTCTACTACGCCCGCCAGCAGCTCAAGTCCCCGATTGATCCTACAGCTCACTGAGGCCTTCAATCCTTTCATGCACTCCAATTCGGATATGAGGATGCAGACGAGTCCGGTCAGCTTGCTCGGGGACGAGCTACTTGCGCGTTTCGTGGTAGCAGCAATTTGGAGAACATGCAGGCTGCGCAGTTGTTTCAACTGGGGATCTTGGTCTAGGATTTGGGGGCATGGGGTGCAGAGGGCTCGGGGTTTAGGGCTGTACTGCTGCGAAACACTTGGCCAACATTTTATCCCGAAGCACTCGAACAACCATACCAATCTTAACAGTACTTGTACTAACTAATCATCTTAATGATAACCATGAGTGATAATGATAGTCTCCCACCGAGACAGTCGACCATGCCTCCAGCCCTAACCATGCACAACAGCGACCTCCACAGGTGAGAAGTTCCACAGCCCCAGATTTCTCTTAAGCGCAACGAGGCAAGCACCTCCATTTCCCAAGTACATCTGAGGACGTAACAGCTGCACAAACAGCGACTTCAATTCAACATGCCAGCCCTCAACGGTTATGCGACCAAAAGAGCTCCTGCAAATGCCTTGATGCTAAGATGCTCGTTTTCGTTAGGCCACTAGGCACCCTACGCAACTTGACGTTCATCCTTGCCCGTATGGGGGTATTGTGCGGACACGTGCAGAACACAAAGAAACATGAGCTCCTGCGAAGCAGTATGAATCAAATCAAAGGTTCCCGCATTCTAGGATCCATCTCCTTCGGGGCCCTTTGCTGCAAAATCCTATGCTTCTTCTCGGCCCCAAATCTCCAGAATCCTAGGACCGACAGAAGCATGGAGCAACCGTCGATTTTCCTCCCCGAGCGGCTCGTCCTTCTTTGAAGTCGTGGCTTTTGTCTTTGCTTTGGCCTTCTTCTTTGGCCTTGGAAGAAGGGTTTAGGGCCGTTGAGGGTTTCCGGGTTGATGTTGCAACCTGCAGTCCCTCATGGGCATGGATTATCAGGTTTGGGTCTTGAGAACTCTAGTCTGTAGCTCAAGAGCCAGCTCGAGAAGGCAAAGATATGCAAAGCTGCATGAGGCTCAGGGGATGGGGAGAGAAGCTCTCTGCAAGCGCCGCTCTACAAAAGAGGGATCTGGTGCTGCACTGTATCGAATCCGAAGCGACATTGAAGAGCAGCCACGTGACTTGGGCGTTCCGGACGTGGCTCCCGCGTCCTCGACACTTTTGCCTGGCTCCAGAAGGCTACAATTACTTGCCTGCAGCTGCAAGCCTGCGAGCTCAGCCTCAAGAGGAATTACTTAGCATCTGCGAAAATATCGAAAAACTGGAACGGTCGACGAGGAGACTGAAGAGGTTATTGTCATGCTTACCACCTTCAAGTAAGTATGCAGTACCCAACTCATCTATGCAAAAAACATGCAGTCAAGCAAGGGTGCTGTCACAGTGAGTCTAGCGACAGTTGCCACGAAAAAGACTGCACTGCATGTTGCCTACGGACAGGTCCACTACTGGTCCACTTCTCAACCTTTTCCCCGATGTCGCCTTTGTCGCTTTTCTCGCTTTTGTCGCTTTTCATCCCCTTTACGGGGCCATCGGAGGCTGTCGAACCCGAGGTGGCCCAGCTGGCCGTCGCGAAGGAGACTATACTCTCCTCCTCCTCACCCTTTGTGTTCTTTCGCATGCCGGAGAGCTCCTGCAGAAGGAAAGCAATCGCAGCTGGTCTTGGACAACAACGCAAGTTCGGTGTTACTAGTCAAGCGGCTTCCGTGTGCTGCAGGGCATAGATCTTGGAGCTCAGGGAGCGAGAGCGAAAGCAGCTTTAAAATCAGAGGAGCTGGGGAGGCAGAGCTTCACGCGAAAGAGGAAATCATTCTTACATGTGCGAACTCGCAAGTCGGTGATCGTGGTCCTTCGGAGCATCCTCTTCCTCGGTTTCCAAACCCAAATTACTTCCTATCCGAGACTGGGAAATAAAGGGGAGCAGAAGCTCAGAGCTCAAATTCCAAGTCGGGTTCAGGTTTTGAGCTCTAGGATTTTCGCCGCTAAGGTTTTGTGGCCTAGCTTCGGGGCTTCGGCTTTTACATTCTATCTTGCAAGTGTTTACATGCCGCAGCAGGATTACACAGATATTTCGTAGCCACCCTGTCTGAATCTGTGCAACAGTGGTCCCGCCAGTGAACTCTACAGGAGAAGGGATTCAAATTCCTCTCTGCTCATCTCTACTGTTGACCGCCGTCATGGCCCATAGCATCGCTAACTCCAACGTGGCAAGGGCGAAACCTTCTCTAATATGGGATTTTTCAGACTGTAATTTGCCCCCTACCCCTAGGCAACAGGATCCGTAACTGGAGAGACTCCCCAAATGACCTGCTTGTCTGAGAACCCACATGTATCAATCAGAAGCAGGGCCATGCTAGTGCTCGATTCTAAGTCTCAGCCCCAGTAGGTTTTACTACCAGTGGCAGTTCTGATTCAGTCATTATGGACATGATAGCAATACGAATAATCAACACTTTAATCTGGGTGCTTCGAACGAGTTAAGCAAGTATTGGCTCACTCTGCAGCGACCCGAAAAACTGACAAAGCAACCTATCAGGCACCGAAAGCACCATCCAAAGCAACTCGAATTCTGTGTACTCCAACCGCTTGAACCCCAAAACTCAAAACCCCAAACCCTGGCGTTTGATCACTTGTGATACAGTGATCGTCCGACCCCGGGAACGTTTCCTAACTGAGCCCGCCGCTGGCAGAACATTGAGTGAAACCTGGTTGAGAGCGGGGTCTGGACACCAAAAATTACAGGCTATATGATATATGATGCATGATCATCATATGTATATAAGTGTGTATATATGCTCATATATATATATATGTATGTATGTATGTATGTATGTATGTATGTATGTCTATATATATATGTGTGTGTGTATGTATGTACGTATGCATGCATGTATGTATGTATTTATTAATATATATATATACACACATATATATATACACATGTGTGTGTGTACACCTTTTTCTTTCGCTTGTAACCCGAAGCTGAAGCCGCCCTAAACCGCGAAAGCCCGGTGGGATGTGGTTAAGACTCCTTAGGTCACGATGGTTGATGTCAGATGGCTTTCGCTCGTCCAGCCAGAGTGAAATCGTCATCATTGTGGTTGTTGTTGTTGTTGTTGCCTCCCGCCTGGCTAGGACGAACTTACGTTGTTGTTGATGTTGCTGTTGCGGTTGCTGTTGTCGCTGCCGCTGCTGCTGCTTCTGGTGCCGTCTCGGTCGTCTTGATCTGTTCTCAGTAAGCAGTCAGACTTAGTGCTGCATGTGTTTGTTCTGTGCTGCAGTTGGTTTCGGCAGCTGCAGCAGCAATGCAAAACCGTGCTGTTGCGATTTCGTCGACGGTGGTGGTGGTGGTGATGATGATGAAGATGATGATGACGATGCAACGATGCCTAGGGATCTACATTATGATGGTGTTGATGATGCCAGTGATGGCTCAGGCTGGTGTTGACCCAATGATGCCGATGGCGATGACACAGATATTACAATCTGATTAAGTGGTGCGCTTTCGCCATAAGTGCGATGCGCTCTCATTTCACTGTTGACCGCGTGGACAGTTGCTTCAGGCTCGAGTCTCTCTGATACTTGTTGTGACGTGACGGCGATGTGATGCTTATGATGGCGATGCTGCTGATAAGGATGACCTTATTCATTTCGTCTACGGAAAATACCGATGGTCCACATGCGCCCTCTGTCTTCCGAAGCTTTGGACCTCAGACTTCACGTGGGACGGCCCTTCACGATTCAGCGGGAAACACTCTCTCCAGTTTATCCTGGAACTGTATTCAGCCATGCCGTGGCTTCGCGTCCAGAGATTACCAACGAGTTCATCCGCGAGACTTGCGTTGTGGCGCTCGAAACCAGCTTAGAGACCTGCCTGCGTCTAGCTCTAAGGCAATGCAACGCCAACTGTCTCGCCAGACATCCGCCCAAAACCCTGTAACTCCGGAGATTGTCAAGCTCAACCTGGCAGCTGTGCGAAGCATCAGCATCTGAAACCATCGCTTCGAAAAGCAAACTACGAGTGTACAAGTGTTTTGACGCAGGTCGTCTGTAACATTCTGTAACCCCAAAGTACAAAACGAAGGTGAACGCTGCAGAATGCCGAGCTCGGAACCATTTTCTGTGGCCTCGGGCCATGTGCCAGAAACACTTGAGAACTTCGGGACTTGTACACTTCACAGTTGAGCTTCCAGGCTGTGTCGGGGCAGATGATGATGATGCGTCTGATTAGCTGCACGAAGTCCGGGCTATAAGCATTGTTGTGTCTCAGTGCGAAAAACCTCGGAAACAACGTAGCAACTGTCAGGGTTCAGCTTCAGGCTTCGACCGCCACACTCCAGCTACAAGCTCGGATTATGGAGCGCGATGCATCCATGACTAATTTCATAACGAAATGAACTCATAAGCGCTACACCATGGCTTGCGCACCAGACTCCGTATACTCGAGTCGGAGTTTAAGAGCCCCGAAGCCACAGCCGCCGGTTGGAGTCATCTGTAGTAGAATGGAAGTTTCACAGAATGCTAATCCAAATACGAAAGGAGCTTACCCAAGTTTGCAGAAAAATCCATCACCGACTCCGCCCGAAGCCCTCCCACACTCTCTCTCTCTAAGTGCTCAGACTGGTCGTTC